CCGTTCTACATCCCTGTCTGGTGCATGTTTCCTGTGGCTTACCCTCTTCACACAGATTGCCCTGGTCATTATTGAGCAAAGACAATGATAGCAACCATGTCCGCCATAAGCTTGTGAGAGAACTAGTACGCTCCTTTACTCGTACGAGATGTGGCGCGGTTGTTTTCGTCACTGTTATTGTCGTGCTCATCGTCGGGATAAAGGGATTTAGGGCACACCTCCTCGTATGGTGCACACACGATTTCACCAGAGTTGAACACTGTACTGTACTCCGAGAGCACAAGGGTACTTCCGGGTGGGCAGTCAACGAAATCATTGGTACCCTTCACGCGCACCCGGTAGCTCGAGGTGCCCTTATCACACAAAACATCCGCACAAATAGAGAGCATATTTTTGCCATCGCTTATCTGGAGGGGAGAGCTCGGGAGTGCTGAAAAGCATCGCGCATATTCTGAAAACACAGAACCAGGGAGCATTTCTTCATCCCCATTTAGGCACCTGGTTCTTAACAATGGTATTACGAACGGACAGTAATCCATCAAGGCAACAGTTCCACCCATCATCGTATCGGGGAAGTACTGGAAATATGTTGGCAAGCTATCATAATACGTTATTGCACAGTTTCCAATCCCCATCCGGTCTGATGTGCACTTATAGTTGCTTATTAAAGTAATTTTACTGTCACAGAACATCTCCGGCACCTGCGACACACTGTCAATTACGCACTTCCTATCAAACAACACGCAACTGGCATTCTTACCCCATGACATGCTTTCAGCATTACGGTAGTTGCCTTTGTAGAAGCCTGTGTCCTCCATCGCTGCAATGGTGATGGAAGTGTAGAAAAATCCACCTTTCATAGTAGACATTAAGTCATCCTTTGCATTGCGCATCTTCCAGTGTGACCCCCCACCACCCATGTCCTCCAACTCCACATACTGCATGGTAGGGCACCCATAATGAGCCCTCGCGGCTTCCACAACTTTGGGCGAAGACAGAACATAACTTGGTGGCTTATTACGAACAGACACAGTATCAATCATGTTTCTGTTTTTAAATATACGATTTGAGAATCCCAACGCGTGCAGTAACTCGTGTTCCAATGTACGTATGGAAGAGAGAATATTCATAGTGTCTACAGACCCAATATTGGCAACACCCACCAAGGGACGGCCGCTGGGGTCTAACTGACACATGAATGCCCACGCGACAAGACCAAGTACAGTTGGTCCCGCCGCAACGTATAGCACGAAGTCAGTATCCGGCACACCGGTGGTGTGGTGGGACTGGGGAACCGTAAACTGAGAACAGATGTCTCCAGTGAAGTGTTCAACACGGATATTGTCTCTCAGCGGTTGCACCAGCAGGCGGTCCTTGTGCATCCGAACCGCGTTGGGGATTATCACTTCACGCAGTATCCGCTTCTTTTTATCGGTGAGAACATTCTTAGTATTGCATTCAATGATGGAGCCTGTAAAGTTAGGCTTCATTTCTCCAGGCTGAGTGCAGTAGCGGGAGCTGTCGTCAAGGTCCTTGGTGAACACCGAGATGCGGATCGGCTCCCATGGGTCAGTGGCGGTGATGCTGCCATGCTGCTCCGCACCCTGCCCCTGCGGCGTCCCGCGGTCCCTCACATCGGGGACGGCACTGGTGTCGGTCCCCAGCTGCAGGCGCTGCAGCTCGTCGAAGATACAACGGTGCCCCGCAGCGATCAGCGGGGTCCCGACAAGCAGCACGAGCAGGACAGCGGCTGTGGTCAACGCAGACACCCGCAGGCCGGTGCGTGGATTGGACATTCAGTGGCGTGTGGCGGCGGGGATCGTGGACAATGCGCTTGGTGGCGGTGTGAGTACTTGTGTGTGTGTGTGCTTGGATGGTAATGTTGTTGTGCGAGTGTGTTACTGTTGGGATACGTGACGCAACGCACATATGTGGTTTGAAGGGGAAGAAGAAAAAGAAGAAGGGGGGAGGGTTACTCAGATGCGCTCCAGGCGCCCAAGCGAATCGGCTACGGTGCCCTGCTGCACCGCACCCTTCCAGGTCCGTGACACTCGCAATGGAAGTTGTAATAACAATGTGTCCCAGTAAAAGTAAATAAGGATAACCTTTTTTGTGTAGTTACAGTTTGGGTATAAAGATATAAAAATTAATTAACGCATAATCAGGTATAATTTATAGAAAGTAATAATGTATCATTGATTTCAACAGTAGAAAGAAAGTGACCTAGTTACTCCACAAATAAGGACGGGGCATCGGAATGCTTACCTCAGCACCATTCCACTCGCTATGCTTCCCTTGATCCGCGGGTGTGCACCCCATCCTCGTCCCTTGGTCACACAGTTTTAGTTCAATGTTGTATAATGATAATAGCATACACGATTTAATCCAACTCAGTCAGTGGTTTCCCCAGTCCCGGTGAAATCCAATTTATAAATTACACATCGAAAGATGAAAATACTTCATGTACGCACGAATAAGAAAGAATAAAAACGAATAATTATAATAATCGCCTAAATATTAAAGAATACAAGTATAAACAAAAGAGATATGTATACGCACATGAATATATATATATATATATGGAAAGAAAGATTCGGTTGATCTGTGAAATTAAAAGGAAGTAAAATTATATCACTGAATGAAAAAAACGATGAGTCACCCTTTTCAGGCATGTTGCTCCCTGCCATCATTCAGCAAGGACAATCAGAACAGCCAAGGCCGCCACAAGCGTGTGAGTGAAGTGGTATGCGATGTTAGTCGTACCAGATGCGGGGATATGATGGGTCTCGATTCGGTAATAGTTTGTGTTGCACACCTCCTCGTATGGCGCACACTCGATCGCGCCAGAGTTAAACTCTGTACTATACTTCGAGAGCACAAGAGTGCTTCCGGGTGGGCAGTCCAGGAAATCAGTCGCACCCTTCACTCGCACCTGATACTTCGAGGTGCCCTCGTCGC